TTGTATTATTTTTGTTTTACGCCTGACTTGATTTAGTCATCTACCAACTGAGTTGAATAAAAAGGCATGATTAAGACTTTTGAAGTTTATGTACAGATAACTGAAAGCGAGTTCTCGCTAATGGTTGTTTGCGGAAACCTAGTGAATCGAATGCATGATTCTATCCACGTGGTTGCCGCAGAATTGCAAATTAGGTATGGCCCAGTTGAATATCCCAAGTTTAAACTAATAGACAATCTAAACTCTCGGTCGCAAAGTAAGTCTGCGATCTTTACTTATGGTCGTTGCCATCAATCAGTGCCTTGACGCCTAGTAACACTACACTTTAGAATGAGCAAGCTTTAAATAGTCTTCAGTCTCATAGACTATCAAGAGTAAATTTCAATTTAGCTAAAATTTCAGCCAGCATTGTTGAAGTGCCAGCAAATATGAGACAGATTATACCTCTATTGAAATCTCCTGAAATCGATGACCGATCGAACGGAATTGGTGTCACATTACATAGCTTACAATCTCCTTTATCATAATGAAGAGGAGTTGGAGGCAGTCAACATGTCTCTTCGACAAGGAGATACCCAAGGTATATTTGTCAGTCAGTGATTTGTTTCATACCTTTTTACTTTGGAGGTGGCAATAATAACCCAACTGATAAATAAACAGCAAAAAAGTCCTCCAAATATGCTTTTAGTTATTGTGGTAAAAATCGATTCTCCACGAAAATAAATTTTTTGGTATATATCTAGGATTCAGCAAGCTGTTTATTTCTAACCGGTATAAAAGCAGACTATTCAGTGGCAATTTAGGGGAGAAACAGATCACTCGATACTTATTCTTGTTAAGGTGATTCATCGACTTTGACACATTACCTCTCATTAAGATTTTTGAGAAAGTTCAAAGTGCTTCCCCAGGTTGGTCAAAAGGTGCCAAAACGATGAATTTTTGTCTACATGCATACTAAATTTTCACAGATTTCCCCAATGCTTCTCTTGAGTTCACCTTTAATTAGGTAGAATTTTTCCCACGTTTAGAAATTTGCCACGAACTGTCTTACGTGAGTCTTAAACAGATTGATTTGCCTCGTTTCAGTTAGTTCATTATCACCTACCAGCAGCACTTATTACTTGCGATAGAACATGAGGGTAATCGCACGCTAGATCTGGTTCTGGTGACATTATTTCTATGACACACAATCCATGTAGCTGAAAATACAATAACTGAGGTTGATATTAGCTCTGGACATTTGAATAAAGTTAATGTAAAAACCGAAATCTCAATACTTGGTTTGAACGCAGAACTAACAAACCAAAATATATTCGATTGTACCAGACTATGTTCTTCTGTATAGCTAACGAGGAGTTTTTCAGTTACTCGTGTTAAATTATATCAAAACGCAAACTCTGTGCTCAATTTAAACGGCTCTGAATTACGAAATAGAATTGATTATATCAAAAATACAAAATACCTCAAACGGTACAGCCTGTGCTGTACTGACAAAACTTTCTCTACCTGAGGATCAGTAACAATATTCCCGACAAGATAGGGTCATTTATCTATCTGTAGTGATTCCGAAAACATTTACAAGCAGACAGTCAAAGGTTTACAGTGACACACTAAACCACGCTGTGACCTTGAGCTTAGTCAAACATGACCTTATTGTCAGTCGTCCGGCAACATGCAACAGAAAATTAGGTAACAAAATATAAGTTCATATTCAAAATCACACAATAAGGGCTCAGACAAAGACTAAAAAACACAAAGTTTCGTTAAAGGAGATCTGAAAAAAGGTTAAAATACAAGACCAGGAGAAGAAACAGATAAATGACATTACTGTACAACAAAAATGGTGTGGCGGGACTTTGAGCGTTTTCTTTCTGTTACAGTCAATAAACATGTGAAACATGTTAATCACATTTGTGATGAGTAGGATAGGGTGTGCACAAACATACGCTCATCTAAAAACATTAGGAATAAATAAGCCAATGAGTGACAAGGTCAAAATGTGGTTTCGGAAGAATGAATAAATTAGCTTGTCGGAAGCTAGAATAAACCATGTAGGTTTAAAAGCCACTGACGCTGCACAATCCTCCACAAACCTGTCGGCCTCACCAGTGTACTAGTTAACACATAATACGTAGTAACCGGAACGGACATAATGGCTTTTGTATAGACAAACGACATGTGATGCAGTGAATGATTCCGGGGGAGGTTTTAATGGCAAGTCAAAACCTAAATGACTAGTCTTTAAAAGACTTCGAAATACTGGACATGCTTCTAGTAAGGGGCCGCTGGTCAAACATCCGCACGAGACTACATTTAGGTAGGCTGTGCTGGACGTCTCCTACGGCACATAGTTGGCATGGATCAAGTACTTTCAAAGGCTATGACCATTTTCCAGCAAATATTTGAACCCTCTCATTCTTGTCTTCTGGTTTGCCCGGACTCGAGATCTTCGATTCAAAAGGAGTTAAGACAATAATGTATTCTAGCACCGTATATTTATGGCATTGTTGAGAATATCACACACAAGTAACCTTGTAACAGAAAGAGACAGGTGAAAAGGGCCGTACAATAATAAGAAGTGGAGAAGATTTGTAGCTCAGGTGGATGATTTTGGTGGTGTTTTGTTCTCTGAGCTGGATGGTTTGGTCGTGGAGCTTTCATCGTTCTTCTGAACGACATCATCAGCACAAACTTCAGATAGAAGTGAAGTATTCGAATTTCTCCATATGTGTTTCACAGCTTGTTCTGTGCACCTCGATGTTTATTGGTTCTTACTGACCCAATCAACTTTTTGATGAAGTTGATTGGGTAGCCGTTCTTCAAAAGCACCAACGGCACACAGCATCAGAACCCAAATCAAGCACAAAAATCAACAAAAGGATCACCCTACCGTACATACAAGGAATATCAGAAACCACAACGAGACCGCTGAAAACCTTCGGGATAGGTGTGGCACACAAACCAACAAAATCATTACAATCAATCCTATGCAAACCAAAAGATGAAATAACAAAGGAAAACAAATCAAACATCATCTACAAAATAAATTGTACCAACTGCGACAAACACTACATCGGACAAAGCGGACGCCCCCTCCACCTACGCCTACATGAACACCAATTAGCAGTTAAACGCCATGATATCTCCACTTATATCAATACACGTGGATAACTACGGACATTCATTCGATTGGGAAAATGTAGAAATCTTAGACAGAGGAAACTCCAAAAACACCAGAGAATTTTTAGAAGCTTGGCACTCAGGTCAATCAGCAATCAACAAACATATTGAAATCAATCCAATTTATCAACCAATCAGGAAAATCATGCATAAATATAGGAACAAAAATCAAACCAATGGGAGACAACCAAAACAAAGAAGTAAACTGTTACGGGAGAACTGAAGACATTTGGCGGATTAAAACCTTTTATTGTACATTAACAATTTACTGTGTTTTATGGATGTAATTGTTTTACTTAACTCTTGAACTTGTTTGTTTATATCATTATTTCGGACATTTTGGTTTGGTACTTTGGTGCTCTCTTTGTCTTTGGTTTGGTATTTGGGAGTTTTGCTCCGGGAACCTACAAAATTGAAGGTTTGTTTTGTAATTGTTATAATTATTGTTGTTAGAACGACATTTGGTCGACTATTTGTAAATTACGAATAAATTTGGTATCTAAATTGGACCTTGGTTTTGTTGTTAATTTGAGTTCGTAATTTGCAAGTAGATCGATAGCCCGTACTTCAATAACTGGAACGAGCAAAACCTGGACGTAACATAAACAATGATAAATTTAAGGTCAACAAGAACCAATCAACATCGAGGTGCACAGAACAAGCTGTGAAACACATATGGAGAAATTCAAACACTTCACTTCTATCTGAAGTTTGTGCTGATGATGTCGTTCAGAAGAACGATGAAAGCTCCACGACCAAACCATCCAGCTCAGAGAACAAAACACCACCAAAATAATAAGAAGTCGTTAGAAATCAGTTACATAGGCCTGACTAGAATTTTTGGTCTAGTCCAGTTTGACTGGCTACAACCGAGAAGGAGATTTGGGAATTTACGAATTTATTCCGAGGTTGACTATGGACCTTCCGGTTATGCTAAATGGTTCGGCTGGATGCAAATATGTCCACCATGACGTACAGAGGTGAGGTCTGAATTTTAAAAATGCGTTCAGCCCCCAACCATCGGTTAAAATGTTGAATCACCTCCTAGTTTATGAAAAAGTTAGCTACCTTCACAATTCCGGGAGTCCGTGGCCTGTCGTATGAAATGATACTTGGAAGCTATACTTGTTTGCACTGTCCGTCTGCAGATTAAGCGATTATTTTATTTTGAGGTATAGAGTACTAAGAAATGATTTGGGGTCAGAACAGTTCAGTAAACATAGCTGACGATTTCGCTGATTCTATGTGTGAAATACCCCGGTGACACACAGGTTTTCTCACAGGTTTATGAGTTCTTTGGACGTACTACTTAGAGAAGTTGAGTCCGATTGACGCGTCCTTGAGATTAAGCACTCATGAAAGCTTACTTGAAAAAGAATAACAAAATATATCGAAGATGTCTTCTACATAGTATTCTGGAGCCGAGCCAAACTCTGTTCGAAGAAGAAAAAGAACACGAATTTGTTTGCTTTTTGTTATTGCGTGGTGTTTGGCGCGCCGTACAAAGTGTTCGGTACTATCGGGTTGCGAGGGTGAGTTATTGCAGGCGGTCTGGTGAGGAATTAGCTCATTGTTGTTCTTTTCTGTATGGCGAATTAAATATTGTTAACATTTGCCTGCATGATCGCCTGATTTATTTAACGACGTAATGCGCGTGAAAAACTTACCCTACTACTGTATTACCATGACCAGTTGTTCTCAATTCACAACGCAATATTACCTCTAGATCTTTTTGTTTCAGGACTTCTGGAAACCGTATCTTATTGGCGCTATTTGGGCAAGTATTGCGCTGTGGCCAGCCTACTCTTTCTATTATCAGACTTTAATCAGCCTAGATAGCAAGGTAATCAGTCTCATTACTCAATATACTCATGAATTTGATATCATCTGTAAAAAATAGTGTCTGCAGGCGAGACTACAATTTGTGGACGAACCAATCAGGTTTACGATAACGGGTCTTGCGTTTTGGCGCGAAATTCATTCACCCATTTGGCTAAATGGAATCCTGGTATTATAGCGGATGTCAGGTCGTGATGAAAACTATAAATCTAATTCCTGACCCCAACCATCAACTATAAATCATAATCCTTATTCTTCAAACTGCTTTATAACCCTCACTTAGCCCTGTTAAGTAGGTAGACACTCAAAGTCATTATAGCGTCTCTCAAAGGTCGTGCACAAATTATAATCTCACCCTTTCTGAAATCGATAAATATCTTACCTGCAGACAATGCCGTATATTGTGCCGCTGTCCATTGCATTTGTGTAATTATTCCGTACGTTCTCTAGTAGTAGGCTTAAATCAGTGCTATTTGTATATAACGTGAAATAATGTGGTTAGTTCTTCTCTAGAGCATCACAAAATGTACTTGATTTATTCGAAGACGGTCACATCTAAAACCAGCATGATTTTCTTGAGTTTAGTGTTCTTGCATCCCAACAGGCCATCTTATGTTCAAACGTTGTATAACAGTGCCAGGTCTTATGTCGGATTAGTTCGAATTCGGTATAATGTCTTTGGGTAATATTTTAATATATATGGAGTCGCCAATGTAATGTAGTAAACTTTAACCATGACTTTGGTTGTTTCATATACATGTAAATAATACTAATCTTATGTACAGTGGCTTTGTTTCTCACTCCCGACCGTTGTTGTTACCTTGACATGGTGGTCGGGCTTGCCTATCGTGATGAAGCAACCGAGCTATACTGGCTGGAACAACTGTTCCCCAAGGTCCTACCACGTCAGAAAGGTCGGTTGAGAAGCGGTAAGACTAAAAACGACAAACCCGAGGTCCGAAGGCGAAGTCGTACTGCTGACTGTACAGAGATGTGACAGCAGTAAGGTGTTTCCTTCAGACAACCAGCATGACAGTGATGCTGCCTTCCCACATGGAGGGGTGGGGTTAGAAAAGGTCGACCCTAAAAATGCACACCTCGCCTTATCCCACGGATATCCGTTTCCGGCGGTAAGGTCTCAACAAGTACGGAGCTAACACAAAAATTACCCATGAAAAGGTCGTGTATACTGACCTCAAGCAGTTGTCCCTTTGGCACTGCGGTCACGCTCTCAGGTCAATAAGACCAACTCTAATCCAATTTCCTTTTCAGGTACCTCCAGAAGAACCCTTCTACGGTGTGGGCAATCGGGAAGTGATAACCGCCCTCATACCTCTAACAGCACTCAAGACCACTGTATTCATAATCAACCTTCCTCTTCAATTCCTATTATTCCTCCTACATCGACTTTCAACTCTAAAATTTCCTCTTTCGGTTTCCCCCTCAAGTGTCACCATAGCCAACGATTCTAGTGCTCAAAACACTGTCCCAGGTCTACTGAAACCTCGCTCCAAACTACACATTGAAGCCTTCAATGTACGCACCCTATGTCAAATCAGTCAACAGGCTTCCTTGGCTAAAACCCTAGAATCTCGTACCCTTGATGTATGCAGTGTCTCTGAAACACGCATACAGGATTCTAGTGTGGTCATTCACTTGACCTCACCTCGGCAAAACGGAGAGCCAACGAGACACACCCTCCGTGTATCTGGTGACCCGATGGCCAGCTCTGGTGGACTAGCAGGAGTAGGGATAGCACTAAGCATGAGGGCGGAACAAGCACTGTTAGAGTGGATCCCCGTCAACAGTCGTTTATGTGCTGTTCGGCTAAACGGCTACGTAAGAACTCGGAAGAATAGGGACACACGTCGTTGCCTTTTTGTCGTTTCTGCCTACGCTCCCACCGACTGCAGCTCAGATGAAGTGAAAGATGAATTTTACGGAAAGCTAAACGCTCAGACATAGTACTCGTAGGGGGTGACTTTAATGCTCAGATAGGTAGTTTAAACCAAACAGAAAGGGATTTAGGTGGATATTTTAGTATTCCGGCACAGCGAACAGATAATGGTGACCGTCTGCTGCAAGTGTGCTCAGACAATCGTTTATTTTTAGCAAACACAAATTTTAAGCATAAGGAGAGACATTGTCTAACATGGCGACCCCCTACACCAAACCAACGATGGACTCAAATAGACCATATTGCCATCAGTCATCGTTGGAGAGGGTCGGTACAAGATTCTCGCTCATTCTGGAGTACCTGCTTGGACTTCAACCACGCCCTAATACGGGGACGCATCTGCTTGCGCCTCACTGGACGCAAAAAAGCCACACTAAAAAGACCCATTAGAACTGAATTGAGTGGCGAGAAAACCAAAAGTAAGTTCCAGGAACAACTGAGGTCACACTTAGGTAGTTCTGAAAGCGAGGCTGACACAGATGTTGCTTGGGAAGATATACAAACAGCTGTGGAAACAGCAGTGACATCTATCAGTGATTTAAACCACAGGGTTACAAAGAACCAATGGATTTCTTCAAGGTCTATTGCACTGATGGATTCTCGCAAACTCATCCCATCAGGCTCTGAACACGATGAAGAGCGACAACAAATCAGATCTAGGTTAAGCAAAAGTCTAAGGAACGACCGTGAGCAGTGGTGGGCAACGAAAGCAAAAGAGATGGAAAAGGCGGCGGCTATAGGGAACACAAGACAGCTTTACAGACTAATAAAAGAAACTGGAATTAATAAGTCAAGTGTAAGTGAGATTATTTCGGAAAAAGACGGTACTCTCATCTGCTCCCAATCCACTTATCGACTTAGAATACGCAGATGACATAGTCCTGTTTGGTGAAGACGCTGATGAAATGCAGTCTTTTGGTAGCACCAAGCAACAATGCCAGAATGTTTGGAATGCGCTTCTCTAAACATGGCCTTTAAGAGTAGAAGACACCCGTAAGTTACAAGTATTTGACCACAGATGCCTTAGAAATATTGTTGGCGCCTGTTGGGATCACCGGGTAAGTAATAGTGAGGTTAGACGCAGGGTATTAGGTAATGATGGTAAATCAGTTGATGAGGTTGTTGATCTCCATCGACTGAGATGGTTGGGCCACGTGTTACGTATGCCTGAACACCGATTACCACGACGTGCAATGCTAACCGGTGTTAGAGATGGTTGGAAGAAAGTAAGGGGCGGCCAAACCAAAACGTGGCATCAGTGCTTGAAGTCACTAACCTCTATTCTGAGCCATGTTGGTAGATGCAGACTACTTGGTTGGGGTCCGCGTGACTTTCGTAACCGATGGTTGGAGACTCTTGGTGACATGGCTCAGAATCGACCACAATGGCGTAGGTGTATACACTCCCTGTCTTCCATTAAACTAAGAGATTAAAATCACTTCATATCTTTCTTTCTACTAACTAATTCTTCCTGTACTGTATCCTTATATGCAATCTTTCTCCTATATATTACCACCTTTGACCTAACCACTCATATGAATCCGGTGTTCATCTTGCTGTGCTAATGCGGTACGGCAACCTGGACCGATGCATATATGTGCCTGGTCCTACGTTGTAGCTGACTGACTTATTTCTCACACCTGATTTCACAGATGTGTATTAAGAATTACACTATATTTTTTGTGTGACTTCCGATTACTACAAATGCTTTTTGTTATGGGGACATTTCCATTCGTTTTAAAGATGAACAAGCTATTGCAATCTATTTCTGACAAGTTGAAACATTTGGAATCAATTGCAACACCAGATGCAGTAAACTATGTTGAAGCATGCCTCAAAGTACAGAATAAACAGTTGCTGCACAGAATAAAGTCGTTAAAAGAATCAGTTATTCAGCAGGAGCTACTTCTTGGATGTTAGTCAAGTTAACTAATAAGTCTTTTTACAAATAGTAAATCAACAACAACTTCATCATTTACCCTCTGTTAAGGCTGTATCCAATGGTTCTAATTTGAATGGAAATTCACTGGAAATCGGACATTTGTCCGACAAAGGATTAGTGCCGGAAGGTTAGTTTCTGTTTTTTCTCTCTATTGATCCACTTTTTCCAATGGTATGATCCTTTATGTCAGAATGTGAAAAATGGGCTCGTTTAATTTCTAGTTCTTGATTCATATTTAGGTTTATTATATTAATAACTGTCCTCGTAATATATAGTATTTAGCGTGATGTTACCGTTTTTCGCTAAGCTGGTTTACTGTTACCGGGGCAATATTGGATATTGTTTGCTTATTAAGATCAGATACTTGAAGACTGTTACAACCTACAAAATGAATGTAAATATTGGGAATGAGACATTGTCAGTAAATATAAATTTAGTAAGTCTGAATCACTGCCACTGATGGCCCTTCTAATACTGCAGGTTTCAATTAATATATTGTTATTTTTTTCAACAATGAGACCTCTTTTCGGCGAACTGATTATCAAATATTTATGTCCATAAACATATATTTCTTCATTGGCAACAACCGAAATCATTATTGTTGTTAATAAAAATAATCTTGCAAACTGAATGTTACTGTTCAAAAATGCCTCCATTTTGCTCAATGCACATGAAACCTGGCTCTTAAATGAGAACTTTTAAACTGCTTTTCCGTTTTCATTCCCCTAACGGACTTATCTACATGCAGTTGTAACACCGTGCGAATAATGTTGAGATCTTATTTTTGCTCTTGGGCTTTATGATAAACTAATTGTTTCTACCATTTTTGGAATCCGGTCGTGTTGGGAATAAACCATTTTCTCAAATGTTCTTTGTCGCGCATTATTTTCCCGATGTGGAAACTAGGCGGATAAAGTAGAGGTGGGTATTTTATTATGTGAAATAAAAAAATCCTGTAAGGGATTGGTAAGTGTTAGCCAGTCACAATGCCCATGGAGGGGCCTCTGGGGTCATACAAGTCAGTGGCTCGAACTAAAAAGCTATGTCTTGTTTGTTTTCACATTGCATTTTTCAAACAAGCCAGATGTAACTCCGTGGTCGAATGAAGTCGATGTTAGTTGTTCTTTTGGTTTGTCTTGATCGTTTATTGAATACTAGTCTTTTTATTTGTATTTTAATAATGAGGCATCTCTGTGTTAGTTTTCTTCATAATATTTTTATTCTGTGCTTGGCTACCTTTTTTAGTGCCGCATAATACTGACATAAAAATCTCTTCCGGAGCTAGTAATAGAACTTTTCATTTTGTGGTTTATTATAGCAGAGCAACCCAAACAGAGGACAGAGGTACAAACGGACTCGGTGAAAACTAAAAATCGGAATACCGAACGTAAAATACCAGATGGAAAACCACAATCTGCTGAAAAGCCTGTTGATATTGGTCGTCTGGATCTGCGTGTCGGTCGAATTATAGATGTAAATCGCCATCCTGATGCTGACTCTTTATACGTAGAGAAAGTATGTGGTTTCCTATCTCATCTCTTTAAATCAGCCTTCATATTTTATATAAAGTGTTTAGTCTGTCCAAGCTTTGTATTTTATAACCTAAAACGTGCTTTTCGCCATTTTATTCAGGTTGACTTGGGTGGAAATGAAATACGCACTGTTGTCAGTGGGTTGGTGAAATATCTACCTATCGAGTCACTACAAAACCGAGTCGGGATATTTCTCTGCAATCTCAAGCCAGCAAAAATGCGTGGTGTTGAATCGGAAGCAATGCTAATGTGTGCAAGCTCTCCAGATACATGTGGAGTAGAGCCTCTGATTGTTGAGGGCCCAGATATACAGTTAGGTGATTCAGTTGTGGTTCCTGGATATAATCGTAAGTAATAACTTTAGTTGTCCTTAGTCTTTCAAAAGAAAATTAAATGTCACACTTTAGCTGCTGATATTTTTGACATTATTTGGTTGTTTATCGTGCTTAAAATCATTCTGAGTGCAGTGACTTAGTGATTAATATTAACGCGTTTTTGTTATCATAATTAGACCTAATCATTGAAGCACACATATTTGTAAATAGTACATATATCTTTCTCAACACGAACATGTACTTCGCATTCTTTAGGCTGGGGTAATTCTTTAGAATCTAATGAGCTTCCGTTAGCGGCCTTAGACTGATTTGTATTGTGTATTTAGAACATCTAACTGATTAATTATGTGCTTTGTGGTATGTAATTGACATTTGTAGATATATCCTAGTTTAGTTGGACGAGTTATCTAAATTGTTTAAAACAAAATAAGTCAGGCCACCACAGAACATATGAAGTTCCGCTAAACCAAATCACAAACAGTCTGGTTTGTCTTAAAAATGACATTCTCATCATACTAATTGTTTTACAACCTTTCGGACTGTTTTTTAAACTGACTAAGCTTAATGAGGAAAGATTTGATCAGAATCAATGATTCGCTTATTTTCGGTATATATGTCCTAATCCAGGCATCCTAAATCCAAGTAGTTCTATTCTATTCCTTTTTTCATCTGTGTGACTTTCGGAGTATAGTACTTACCTATGTTGGAAAACTTGACTCTCATATTTCTTATAGTGACTGAGAGGAAAGTTAGTGACACCCATTTCTCAAATGAACGTACTTGAACAATTTTGGATAGACGGGATATATTCAATTTGGGATACCCATTCTTTGATTATGTTCAACTACTACATTTCTGTTAATTTCTGGACTGTCTTGATTGTATTTTTAATTGACTGCTTAATCAGTTGATTTTTCCGTTTTTTCAGACGATCCTGATGACCAACTTAATCCCAAAAAGAAAATTTTTGAACAAGTGAAACCAGATCTTAGAGTAAATGAAAACGGGATCGCTATGTATAAAAATGTTTCATGGACACTAAAAGGGTCTTCTCTTGCTGTGATTAAATCACTCAGGGTCAAAGACGCTCAAATAGCTTAGTTGCTAACTATACCCTTTTTAAAATATGCTAATAATTATATATAATGTTTTCGGGAATTATTTTTCTTGTTATAATCCAACTACTTGGAACTTCTGGAAGATGAGTCATAAGTAAATCCTTTAGAATTTCAGGAAGATCCTCAGTAGCAAATAGCTTCTGTCAAATGTTGCTTTAAAATCCGGTGATATACGTTTTAATTGATTCAATTTGGTTTAAAGCATACATTTTCAGCGACGTAATATTAACGAAGAGACATTGATGTGTCATAGTTCATTTCCAAATGAAATTCAATAGGGTTTTCGCTTTTGTGAGTTTTACATTACACTTCATTTACTCATTGAGTATCATCAGAGCAGTTACATTTCCACTATATTTCAGTTATTTAGAAATTCCTATAGAATGTTCATAAAAACATTTTGACGAACAACTGCTTTCAGTAACACTTGTTGTAGACTCTACAGTTAAAAATCTACAAGTATTGTGTTACGACGGATAGCATACTAGGGAATGCACTTAAGTTTCCCGTTGATTTATACAATTGAAAATGATAGGTTTTACACCGGTTGTCTCAAGTAATAGCGAAAGACGTCGATAGTGAAGTTAAAACATCTCACAAAAAGTAAGAAATCATTTTTTACTTACCTTTAGCTTCTCAGTCCTAATCGGTAGTTCACAATCGCACGACAAAAGTTGACACTTTCTAGGGGAGATGTATCATTAGTTATTGTAGCAATTATGATAGCAACAATTACCAATAGGTATATCATGTTACTTACTTAAGCCTGTCACCCCTAGTGGAGGAGCATAGGCCTGAGCACTCCTTTCCAGTTGCTATTCAAATCTGCTTTCGATTCTCGGCGTGGTATGTTCTTTGTTCTTCCTCTTTTCCGTTTCCCTTCATGATGCAGTTTGGTGATTTCATCAATGTGTGTAAGCTTGTTTGTCCTCTCCCACAATAGGCTGTTGCTGATGCTATTCGGCCAACAAATATTGATTGTCTTGCGTGGACAACTGTCTGTAAATACATCTACCTTTTTGATGATGTTTGTGGTAGATCTCCAAGTTTCAGGTCTATTCAGTAGAACTGTCTTGACATTCATATTGAAGATTCTGACTCTGATATTGGCTGACGGTTGTTTTGAGTTCCATATGTTCTTCAATTGTAGGAATGCGGCCCTCGCTTTGCCGATCCTCGCCTTTATGTCTGCATCAGATCCTTCAGATGGTATGTTTTCAGGTTCTACTGCTTTCCAACCCTTGATTTATCTGATGGCTAATCTAATTTCTTCCGTCGTTGGTGGAGTGGCATCTCTGTTTACTGCTTCGATGTTCAGTGGATTCAATGGAGCTGGCCTATTCAAAAGTTCCTCGAAGTATTCTACCCATCTGTTCTTCAATCTTGGTGGTTGTCTTCCTTCAGTGTCCTTGACCAGTCTCTCTGGTTTACTATATTTCCCTGTCAGTTTCTTCGTTGTGTCGTATGGTTGTCTTTTAGCTTTTTCCGCTGTCGTTGCTAGATCTTCCACGTATTTTTGCTAGTCGTGTCTAATGCTTTTCACTTTCTTCTTTGCTTCTGTGTATTCAGCTTGTGCCTTAACTTTCTTTGTTCTTGTTCAACTGTTTTTGATTGCTGTCTTCTTGCTCATCCTTGCTTGAGTCTTGTCTAGGGTTTCGATGGAGATCTATTTATTATGATGATGCCTCTTGCGGACCAGCACATTCTGACACGTTTAAGTCAGCATTTCTTCAATCCCTTTCTGGTTGTTCTCCTTAGTAGTTTCTTCTTTCAGCAGATCCTGTAAGGCTTGGAACCTGTTGTTGAGAATTATCTTGAATTCGTTGAGTTTGCCAGTTTCTCTTATGAACGCTGTACCGAACCTTTGTAATGTTTCTCTAACTCCGCCTGGAGCCCCTCTGGGACCATTGCCGGCTCCGAGCCCGGACAAAGGAGGAGGGTTGGGCATGGGGTTAGCGATTACATCCCGTAGAAAACTAACTGGCTAAAAAGTCGCTAACCAGAAAAATAAATGTTTCTCTAGTTGTCCACCACCAGGTGGTGGTGTAAAGCTATATCAGTCCCTCTCCGGGTTCTCACGTGTTCCATTGATCTTCTGAATTTTTTAGTGATGCGAATATGACCGATCTTATTCCCTGTAGTGTGATCCGATTGGACTCGTGTGTCATTGTGTATGTGTTTGTGTACGAAAGTACTGCCGCCTACAACCAACTTGTTGAATGCACATGGGTTTACAAATCTGTCACCATTCTCGTTTCTTTCTCCATGATATCTTCATAACCGTTTATGTCCATTCCGACTTTGGCGTATAGGTCTATCATCAGGAAGTGAGATCCTTTCCTGGGCACTTCTGTATAATCGATCGAATGCTGCCTCTCGTAGAACTGGTCTTTATCGTCTTCATCGCTATCATTGGTGGGCGCATAACATTGGATAATATCAATTGTAATCCTCTCGTTTTCGCTATGTTTGAAGCGTTTACGAGTTCACGTAGTCTGCGAACGGAACAGAAAATTGTGACCAAAGACCAATATACTAGCTATTCCATTGCATCCCAGCCCCGCTAACTAGAGAGAGAAGTCAAAGTCCGAACGGAGAAGTATAATCCGCAGAAACACGAGGAATAAGAACAGACACAAACCAAAACGTATGTATACAGCACAAAACCGTCCCTGGAGAGTTACAATATAGCATACTAAAAGGCACAAAGGACCAATAGCGTCTAGGATCCCCCAAGTTGGAAATACGACATGAAGATCAAAAGAGCGCTTTTGACGCGAAAACAAAGAAATTTCAATCTTCGAAATAAAATTACAAAAGTTAGGACCTTTTCCAAGTGCGTTCTGAGGATCTAACGTCCCCAAAAGTTTTGAAGATTAGTTTGATATTCCTGGATCCATTAGCTTCTTTGGACAGCATCATAGGAAATCCCTGAGTTTGTGGAGCAGTTTATTCTTTGTGACTAGAGTACAAAAACATCCTTCCCGAATCTATCCTTTCGCTTTCGTGTCAACTTCCACAAATTCTCACCATCATATTTTAAAGGTTTCGTAATTAGAAAGTTCCATACACTCGACATAACTAGCTGTACTATATACAATACAAGTCATCTAAGTTTGTGAACTCCTCTGAGACCGTAAGTCATAAAGCGTCATTTCAGAGAGGTTGGATTATCTTGCAATCAATTGAATCTTCATTCCACTACTGTCGGTGACTCAGTGTATTGAAGATACAATCTACTACCATTTTGTGTAATGAATGATAAATTTAGATTTGAAGTGATGTTCCATGAGATGATACGCCAAAATTATTAGTTCAGATGCATCATTCGTAAAAAAGGAAAATAAAACTACACTATTGAGAATCGGCTACAAATCTAATTCGACGATAGCTTAGTTTCTCGAATTTAAGTACTTAATTCTATGCAAGGATCTATACAACTATTAAAATATTCAACATAAGAGACGAAAGCTACCGATATTTATGATGCCGTATATGCATTCTGTAAAAATCTGAAATGACTTACACAGTCATTCTGATCTCATACTGTCAACGCCATAAAATTCCTCTTTCTTTTATAAACGCCAGTCATAATCTAGATATCTAAATAAGGTTACCTAATGTGAGTCTGTACTTGGCGAATCTCTCATGCAATGAATTACATTCACAAGGACGTCTTCGTCTTACTGTTATATGTGGCATGTTCAGGCTACTTGCACTAGCTGTTACAATGAAGCTCGTTATCTAGCATTCATTGGTAATGGCCGTATTAGCGGTCAACAAATGATTTCTTTAAATAAGAGTAAATATATAGATTATTTAACACTATTTACCCTCCCGAAATTTCAAGATATTTTTCTAATTCAGTTCTGTTCTCGATTTTGTCTACACAGGACGAGTGTGGATATGTGGAATAACATGAGTTATCATACACACCTCATATATCCATGTTTGGTTAACTAGATTTCAGATTATTTCTAGCATCGGTCCTCTTTTAGTTCCACTTATTATGAGCAGAGCTTTCAGCATATCAGGTTACAAATAATATTTTAGCTAGGCAAAACTCCATAACCATAGACTTCTTCCCAATAATAGTGAAATAATTTTTTTGGGATGGAAATTAGCATTATAATTATTTGACACTTTGTCAAAGACCATGAAAATTTCTCATGTTCGCCATGGGACCCATCTTCTCAAGCATTTTAGAAGTTACCGAGATGGCTTGCTTACCGTGAAGTCTAGCAACTTTCTTGTTTTTTTGGTTATACTATTTTTCTGTCAAACAAATTCAAAGCCTTTTTCATCATCCAATGACTAGTGGGCATGTATGATTTGAAAAATTAAACACTAACAACAAACCGAAGATCAGTGTGAACACGCCTAGTCTGTCTTGCAACTCCTCACTTACAATACATATTTCCTGGCTTTTTGTGGTGTTTGTATGAACTAATGATTCTTTTGTACTTGATGGCTGCCTGATTTTGAATACCAAATACATCACGTTCGTTTGTGCTCATCTAGTTCCATTTGGTGTAAATTGTACTACTTCGGGAATTCCTAAGTAGTATAATAATTCAAATACTTCTTATTATAACACTTTTCAGCTGAAAACTTAGAAAAATTTCCCTTTCTACACGAGACAAACTCATTATCAACATTCGGATTACACTAGACGTATGTCACCACGAATATACTACGTTTCTTCCAGTAGATCGATTACACTGCTTTACTCTTCTTCAAGTGAGCATAAATTCCTGACCTCTATGGGAACGATACGGCTATGTCCAGATATTCTATAAAATGGTGCTTCTGAATATATTTAAAAATTCATGCTAAAAAAAGTTGTAGCGGTGAGTAAATCCCCAAAATCGATAGCTCTGTGAATCTTCGAAATTTTATTCTGACCACATTAGTTTTAACGTACTCACCTAGCCGAAGGCGCTCGGCCATTTATCCTAACCAGATCATGAGTAAGTACACCACGCTTCATTTCTCCTACAACCGTTAGCCAACTTAGATCAATCACATCTCGATATATCGATA